TCTCTGCCTTTGTCTTGTACACTGACAACACGGCCATAATCTTCCTGTGTTAGGAGCCTCGACTGGAGGGCAGAGCGAAGCACATCCAGCTGCGGTACTTCCTCCTGCACGAGCTGCAGCAACGCCGCTAGGCCCGCGTAGTACACTTGGTCTCCGGTGCCAACACAACTGATATCTTTACGAAGGCGCTTCCGCCTAAAGATCATCAATGGCACTGTTTACTGTTTGGTCCAGTTCATGTAGCTTCTCACTCGCTAGGTCCTTGATTGTGTACTTCTTTTCTATTATCTTGATTGGCCTTGTGGCCCTGTTCCAGTGGCTGGACTAGTAGTGCCGCCTTGGATTACACTTTTTTCGTCTGTACTCTTTCTGACTGGTCTTCAGACCCTTTTCTCAGAGGTTGGACTAGTGGTGCCGCCCTGAGCTACGTATCTCTTACTAGTCTTTGCCGCTTGTCAAGTCAAGGGGGTGTGTCAACATATAATTTGTATATGTTATAGGCTAGCTAGGTGCATGCTTATATAGAGTACAAACCCTTTGGTTATATTCCCTTGCACCACCTTATTCTAGTCACTCATTCTCACGCTGACAAATAGCTAGCCTTGAGCACACGGTTGTGGCTTAGCAGAGCTACGACGTGTGGTTCGTAAATTGGTGCGACGCGCCCAGATCTAGGCATGAAAGATCAAGGCGGCAAAAATGCATGCGACCCGTCACGAGGCCACATTCAGTTACCGCAATCTGAATTTCGTAAAAGAGCTGCGCGGCAACCCCGTTATAGCAGTGTACGCCGTACTAACTAAAACCAGTGAGAAGGAAATACTATTTCCTTACACCAACTTAAATGTGAAATGTGAATGTGTAGAATAGTTAGCGAGGAAAAACAATACAACGAGGCAACATCAAACAACAGGGAGCATGGATATAACTAGCCTAGAGCACATGGTCGCTGCTCGGCAGAGCTGCGACGTGTGGTGCGAAGCGCCCAGATCTAGTAATGAAACAGCAAGGCGGGCAAAATGCATGCGGCTTGTCAGGAGGCCACGTTTGGGTACCGCGATTTGAATTTCGTTGCAGAGCTGCACGGTGTTATGAATGGGACTGCCGAGTAGCGCGGAGGGCAATGGCGAAACTGTGAACGAGTGAATGACAATAAAATGAAAGACAATACAATATATAGAAAGCCTAGGGTGATCCTGAACGTAGGATCGGAAGGTTCGGGAAATGTATCGAAGGGCCTCAATGTGTCGTAGCGAGGTCCGGAAAGGCCCAGGAGGCTCGAACTGAAAGGTCTGGAACCCTATCGCTGGTTCGGGACTGTTCGAGTCGTACGCCCTGTAGCAAGCCTCAGTAAGGAATTACTCATTCCTTACACTCTCCCCCCTTCTAGATAAGCACACAAATAAATAAAACTACACACACTCTAACTGAATCTCGTAGTAGTGAAGCCACCACTGTTGAGAATCTCGAGCTTCTTCAAGGAAACTCCATCCAACGGTCGAAACGTGTCGAAACGATCGCGGTCGATCGTATCCGTCGAATCTTGGTAGAATTACCCAGATAACCAAATGGGCAGTAGGGAAACTACCGCACCACAGCCTCCTTGTCTCCAGCTAATCCTTCGCCGAGAATTACTACAGACCCCGTCGTCGTGTACTGTATCCTCACAGTAACACCACGTTATTCACGCTGCTGCAAGCTGGCGAGCCGAATCTTCTGCATAGCGCCAAACTTGTCCGTAGCTCCGTAACTGTAGATCGCTCCTCGTTTAGTTCCACGCGAGTCGTGACACTCGCTGAAACACGCGTCCATATTTCGCAAAGTCAACGAACTCCAGCAATTCGTCAAATGCGATGTCATTCGCGACACATGTGAGAACACGCGTCCCCGTCTCACGAAAGTCAGCGAATTCCATCAGCACATGGACGAAATCACAATTAGTCCAGTAACCGTAGTCGATGTCGCCTCAGGCGGTCAATATAAACGCGCCGTCAACTTTCGCAAACTCCTACGAAATTCGTGAAGTGCCAACTCGAATCTATCCGTCGATTCAGTCGGTCAAACAGCATCTGTCCGTCGATGCTCCTGCAGCGGATGTCAAACTTGTCGAGGGAAAATCCAAAAACAACTGCTGCGCAGCTGCTCTCTCCCCCCTCCATGAAAAGAAATTCCTCTGTCGTCGTTGCCGAAAATACCCTGCTTCAAGGTTCTTCAGACCCAGAAAACTAAAGTATCTTCAAACTCTGCTCGTCGGGACCAGTCTCAGCGCGACCCTATAACGCAGGGCAGCTGCGCCACGTAGAATCTAGCTCTGTCCGACGCCGTAGATAATAATTCTGCTCCCTAGAATGCCGTCGATCTGCTTCGTGTTGTAAATTCCGAAACTCCTCCTGACCGGTTCGACGTGTAGACGTTCACCCATCGCGCGGCTACGGCAGGTACCCCAGAAAAACTTGGGTACAGTTCTCCGCTCCGAAAAGCACATTCTCTGCAGTTTCACCGACTAACCATGCCGGTATTTAAACCATCGCACAGCTCGGTAGGTACCTGGCATATTAGCGACGCGCCGACGTTCACCCATCATTGCGCTCGTCCAGGTAAATCCACAAATGAGCCCTCGCAGCCGAGTCTTTGATTATAGTCCCGCAACTCAGAGATAACCCTTGAAGACTCCCGCGTGACTCCAAATTTTCCGTGACGGCAACACGCTTTTCCCACTGCAACAGTAACCCGAAGCTCCATTTTGTTGAATACACTCCAGAGCAGGGGTGAATCTGTCGTGTGCCCGTATTCAGGTAAGCGCAAAACGCTATCGTAGTTGGGCGAATTAATCAGTCTAATTCGCGGGCGACCGCTTTGCAGCTTACGTGAGGGATTCTCCTTCCCCTCCCTGAAAAATTCCGTCTCTGCAAAAATCTGCTTCAACTGCAGCAAATTTCTTCCACTGCCGCAAATTTCTTCAACTGCCGCTTCCTTGATAAAAGACCCCCGTAGGCTGCTGTTCACCCAGCGCCCACGTTCGTCATCCTCAAAACAGTAGCGCGCACTTTCGTTCGAAAAAACTCGCAGCTCCGTCGATCTCGGCGACACATCCTCACCGTTCGTATCGGACCCGAGCTCCACGTACCGTCCGATTGCTCTCGCAAATTTCCTTCGCAATTTTCGTTAATCTGCTTCTCGCACCTCCCACTGTAGAGCGTACGATTTTCACAAATCGTGCACCTATCGTGTAGCGCCGAAAATTTTCCTTCGATCCACCAGCACAGGGTGATCCGCTGGCTCACCACCCTTATTCGGCCAGAACCGTCGGAGTAGTCTTAAACCCGAACTGGTACCTGGTGGTGGTGCTGAAAATCGAGCGACCCAGCCAAGTCAGTCGGGGGATCCATCAGCCGCTGACTCCGTAAAATTTCTTGGCTGTTCCCAGTTGTTCTCCTTCTCTGCGTCAGCTCTTCGTCATTGACTTTTAGCGGTGACCCGTCGATGACACTTAAACTCGACCCGAGGGTAATTGCTTGTCGTCCTCCGTAGATCGTGGGGTATAATTTCTGACCACGAAAATGGCTTCCTCTGTGGGAATCCAGACTCGTCGAGCTCGAAACTCCAGGGCAGACGAATTACACCTCCAGGCGGGCAGGTCACGCGAATAAATTTCGAGGTCAGTACTCCCCGAAACTTTTCCGTGCCTGAGCCCCACGTGTGCTGCCGTGCGATCCTTGGTCGTGCCAAAAACTCCAACGCCGCGTTTGCTGAACAGTATCCGAAGTCTCGTCTTCACCTGCGTGTCGCCTACCGAAAACGCCGAGCCCTTGACATCAGCTACACTTCACCATGCAGCCACGTCTGCTACACGCGCTCTTGACAAAATCCATTTCGCATGGGGATATCCGCGAGCTTGTCGTCTCATGACGAGCTCCTCGCTCCATTCGGACACCAATCTGAATCGTCGTTGCTGCTTGCCGAAAATCTCGAAATTGCAACCGAAGCCTCTTTAACGATATGCGAAATGAACAACATACCGGAAACACTCTTCAAAAACTTCGCCATGTCAGGACGGACACAACCGCCCTCGAGGGGATGGCTCTCCCCCCCCCCGAAAAAAAAACGTTATGCCCTCAGAAGCCCAGCGGGTGAGGAAAGTGGCTCTGAATACCGAGTATTATGAATGGGACTGCCGAGTAGCGCGGAGGGCAATGGCGAAACTGTGAACGAGTGAAAGACAATACAATATATAGAAAGCCTAGGGTGATCCTGGACGTAGGATCGGAAGGTTCGAGAAATGTATCGAAGGGCCTCAATGTGTCGTAGCAAGGTCCGGAAAGGCCCAGGAGGCTCGAACTGAAAGGTCTGGAACCCTATCGCTGGTTCGGGACTGTTCAAGTCGTACGCCCTGTAGCAAGCCTCAGTAAGGAATTACTCATTCCTTACTCGCGGCAACCCCGTTGTATTAGTGTACGCCTTATTGACTGAGGGCGTATTCGTACAAATTTGGATTCAGCAGAGTTGGATCCATCGCGTGTGGTACAGTACGGTGGAATGCTGAATGTGCGTATTTCAGTTCGGTTATGTACGAAATTGGATCCAACTTCGCTGGATCCTAGTTGTAGGTATACGACATAAACCCCGTGATAGGGAAATACCATTTCCTTACATATTTCAACGTCCACAAATGGGAGTAATTACAGAACCATGGTTATGTTTGTTGAATGAGAACTTTTTTCACACTTATCAATTTATCTAGAGGGAAAGTATTCCAATTTTACGAATTAATTTCACTATCAAAAGATGTCGTCTCATTGTACTCGCAAAATGGGGTTTATGTACGATAAGGAATGTCATAAAGTCACCAGCCCTAACCACAGGGACAAGGAGGGATGTCATCAGGAGGGTTAGGCTCCATACATCCACCTTCCCCGAGGAAAGCCTCCTCAGTAACCCCCCTAGAGAGAGTGAGAGGATCGACTAGGGTTATCCCAGTCCCCACCACTAGGACAAGAAAGGATGTCATCAGGAGGGTTAAGTTCCATATATCCACCTTCCCTGAGGAGAGGAAAGCCTCCCAAGTACCCCTCCGAGAGAGAGAGAGAGAGAGAGAGAGAGAGAGAGAGAGAGAGAGAGAGAGAGAGAGAGAGAGAGAGAGAGAGAGAGAGAGAGAGAGAGAGAGAGAGAGAGAGAGAGAGAGAGAGAGAGAGGATCGACAGGGTAATCCCAGTGCCACGACAAGGAATTGCATTACAACTTCAGCCCACATCCCGAAGAAAATATGCTAGATTTGAGGTTGATAGTGTTTGGAGATTAAGTGCCCGCTAATAAGCAGGTTGAGGTACAGAACAACATTAGTTCATCAAAACAAGACCCCGCACTCAAGCTCCCCCGCGCGCTACCCTTCCCAGTACTCCGCGCCCTTCCGCCAACATCCCCCCCCACCTCCACCCTCACACTCCCCCTCCCCTTCCCTCCCTCCCCTCCCTCCCCTCCTCCCTCCCTCCCTCCCCCCTTCCTCCTCCCCCCCCCCCCCCGCCCCCCCAAGACACACTCCCCACTTTCTTCGCTCCCCAACCCATCAGAGCCACATTGTCAATCAACCAGGTCAGACCTAGAAGTTCCCTACGTGTCACTCGGAGGCCCGAAACGATCTCGTAGCAGCGCCTTGCCCTACTCCCCTGCATAATCCGACCTATGGAGCTCGCTGTCGGCTCTGCGCCGCTAGCACGGCGTGTCACCGGGCTCTGCAGCGCAGCCCAGACGGCAAGCGCGAAAACCGCGGGAAGCGGCACGGCTTCCGGCTGTCCGAGATGGACGATTCCGAGCCGCGCCGCCAGCAGCCGCGCTGCTGGACGTAAAACAGGGGTTAACTGCCGCGCGTCGGTCTCGAGCGGTGCCAGCCGAAACGACGTTTTAGGGCTTGATCCGTCACTTACTAGCCTCGGCGGCGCGGGTTTCGACGTGGCGGAGGCCAGCCAGTTCCCCGCGACGCGAATGAGCTCGGAGCAGCAGACGATGCCGCGGCTGCAGGACATGGACCCCGCGTCGATCCTTCTGAGCCAACGAATTATCTTCCTGGGCACGCAGGCAAGTCTGAGTAGGTCGCGAGCTGACTTTTGAGTCGACTCAAAAGGCAAGGCTGAATAGGTCGCGTGAAGAGTAGAGCAGTCAAAGCGCGGAGCAGCAGACGAAGCCGCGGCTGCAGGGCGTGGATGGACCCCGCGTCGATCCTTCTGAGCCAACGAGTCATCTTCCTCGGCACGCAGGCGAGTATCAGAGGCTCGGGGAATGCAGGCTAGTTTCATGTGACCTTGGGCCCGCGAATGCGGCCAGACCTTATTCCCGCGAGTGTGACCAGACCTTATTGCCGCGAATGAGCGCGGAGCAGCAGACGACGCCGCGGCCACTGGCTTCCCCTCACATCTCAGGGACGCCGAGCGCGTGAGTGAGATCCCAGGGATCGTCACTCATTGGAGAAAGAGTGACGTCTAACGGGGTGGACTCTTCTGCAGGATCTTTCTCACTGGAGTCTCCCGTTAGAAAGGTGTCGACTCTCCAATGAGAAAGGTCGACACTGGAGTCTGGCTTCTGGCTTCTGGCTTCTGGCTTTTGGCTTCTGGCTTCCCCTCACATCTTACAGACGTTGAGCGCGGACCAGCAGTCAGGAACCCACGTCGATCCTTCTCAGCCAGCGAATCGCCTTCCTCGGCACGCAGGCGAGTCCGATGCGGTCGCTGACCGTTCGAACAATAAAGAGTTCACTATTGAGTCGACTCAAAAAGCTGACCGTCAGAACAGTAAATCGGTTCGCGAATACATTTAGTTCAGCACCTACTAAATTGTCATCGAATCGACGAATTAGGGTACTGTGGCGCGTTTGTTGGGAGAGAGTACACAGCTCGAGCGTTGGGGTGGGATGGCGGAACCTGGCGGAACCCGCCTGGGAGGAGGGGGGGGGGGGAAGGGGAGGAAGGGGGGGAAGGGGAGGAAGGGGGGGAAGGGGAGGAAGGGGGGAAGGGGAGGAAGGGGGGGAAGGGGTGGGAAGGGGGCGGAGGGGGTGTTGGATTGATGATGGTGTGCATTTCTCCAATCATCAATCCTGTGCACTTCTGGATGATGTAGACAGCTCGAGTGTTGGGGTGGGAGGGATGGCGGAACCCGCCGGAGAGGGGGGTCGTTGGATTGATGACGGCAGTGTGCTTCTCTTCCGCGCTTTCCCTCTCACTCGAATGCCAATTCCCCCCCTTCTCCGCCAAACCTGCTCCCCGCAGGACCCCGCTCTCAGGACATCAAGATGCTCATCCACTTGCCGGGCGGGTCGGTGAGAGCAGGCATGGGGGCAGCATCACCGCTTCCCCCCTATCCCCCTTTCCATGGGCCATCATCCCCCCCCCCCCTTTCTCCCATCTTGCAGGTGGACTCTTCAGCGCGGACCTCATAATCAACCAGCTACTGCGTGGGGTCCTTGACTCTCGCCTGCCCCTGCCGCTCCCTCCCTTCCGCAGGTGGACGATTTCAGCGCGGACCTCATAATCAGCCAGCTACTGCTTCTGGACTCACAGGACCCCACGCGCGACATCAAGATGCTGATCAACTCGCCCGGCGGGTCGGTGACAGCCGGCATGGGCATCTACGACGCCATGAAGCTGTGTCGCGCCGACATCTCACCATCTGCTTCGGCCTCGCCGCCTCCATGGGGGCCTTCCTGCTGGCTACAGGCACCAAGGGCAAGCGGTTCTGCATGCCGAATTCGCGGGTCATGATTCACCAGCCCCTAGGAGGGGCGCAGGGATCGGGTAAGTGGAACTTGGGGGGGTTGAGCTGTGCGTCCATGGGGGGCTCTTCTGCTGGCCACTGGCACCAAGGGGAAGAGGTTCTGCATGCCGAATTCGCGGGTGATGATTCACCAGCCGCTGGGAGGCGCGCAGGGCTCGGTGATTGGAGAGAGACTGGGATTTGAGATGTGCTGTGCTAACTTACTTGTGGTAGAACTCTAGGGTCGGCGATGCAGTCGCGTCGCGTCAGGGACATTGCTGCTGCCTCGGTTTGGGTAATTAATGAGCGGCTGGGGCGACTTACTGGTCTCTGCTGAGTTAAAATTTTGGCTCTTTTTTTTTTTTTTTTTTTATCACTCACAAATCTCTCTCAAGAATCTTCCGAGAATGATAAAAAGTCTCTCGCTATTTCATGAGCGGCTGGGGCGACTTACAGTTCTCTGCTGATGTGGCGGCGAGGTGACACGCATGCCTGCGAGCAGCCACTCTATCACCTTATGCTGATGCTCCATATGGTTGGAGGTGTTACCGACTGCCCCCTCCCCCCCCCCCCACCTCCCCCTTCCCCTCCCCCCCGGCCCCGTTCCCACCTCCCACCGCCTGTGCAGGTGCTCAAGACGATTTTTGAGTCGACTCAAAAGTCTCCCCCTTCCCCTCCCCCTCGGCCCCGTTCCCACTTCCCACCACCTGTGCAGGTGCGCAAGATGATGCACGACAGGGCAGGAGGTGATAGCGGCTGTTGCGCCCCAACAACAGACATGCCCCCTCGACCGCCATTCCCCCACCTCCTGTGCAGGCCCTAGACGTGGGGCTGCTCGTGCGCAAGATGTACCACGAACGATGCAGGAGGTGCTACCGACCTCTGCTCAAACCCCCCCCCTCCCTCCCCCACCCCCCCACACCCCCTTTGCCCTTTCCCTCTGGCTTCCTCTCCCTTCCCCCCTCCCCCCGCCACCCCACCCCCTCTCTCCCATTAGGCCATAGACGGGGGCTGCAGGTGCGCGAGATGATGTACCTCGAGGTGGGAGGTGATACCGACTGCTGCACCCAACGAACCCTCTCCCTCCCCCTCTCCCCCCCCACCACCCCCGCCAGGCCATAGACGTGTGGCGGCAGGTGTGCGAGTTGATGTACCACAAGGAGGGACGTGTTGCCCTAACATCCGCCTTTCCCCCCTCCCCCTCTCTCCCCCCTCCCCCCGCCCAAATCAGGCCATAGACGTGGGGCGACAGGTGCGCGAGATGACGTACACAAGTAGGCACGTGGTACAACAAGCCCCTTCCCTTCCGCCCTCCCGTCTCCCTCCCCCCCCCCCTCCGCACCTCCCAATCAGGCCATAGACGTGGGGCTGCAGGTGCGCGAGATGATGTACCACAAGGTGAAGCTCAACAAGATCCTCTCGCGAGTCACCGGGAAGACAGAGGACCAGGTATGTTTCCCCCGTTCTCGATCTCCCCCACCACTTTTCCTCTCCTTCAACTACCTGTCTCATCCACTCGTGAGATGATGTACCCCAACCAAGGTGAAGCTCAACAAGATCCTCTCGCGAGTCACCAGGAAGACAGAGGACCAGGTGCGTCGGCCGCTCTACTGGTTCCGCTCCACTTGTTTATTCGACTCCTGGGAACACCTGTCATCTCATCTCTGCTTGCGTTGCTCCCCTCTCAGAATGTTGTTCAGCAATGCCCCTTTTTTGTTCAGAATGCCCCCCTTTTTTGTTCAGAATGCCCCCCTTTTTTGTTCAGAATGCCCCTTTTTGTTCAGAATGCCCCTTGTTTGTTCAGAATGCCCCCTTTT